ACTTTTCGAATTATGTGTGAATTCTTTCTCGCAGAACTACTGCCTACATACAAACAGGCACAGAAACTAAGAAATTTTTCTACTTCATACAAGACTATTTTCAAAAAAACCTGGTCCCGGTCCTATTAAAAGCTCCACGGGACTGGGACAATCCCGCAGGATTGGGACCGTCCCACAGACCTCTAGATCTCGATCCCGTAAAAAGTCCCGCGGGACCGGGACTGGGACTGTCACGCAGACCTCTATCCTCCATAACTATTTTTTGTGTACTATCTGTATTTGTCGAGTAACACAGCCTTGTCAACGTAATTAAGGTAAGTGGTGCTAATAGGAACATAACAGCGATAGAGATTGTGATCTGTTCAGAGATAAATCCACACAATCAGACCCAGTGCTACTACTTTTTCACTACATTAAGTCCGTTTTTGCATTAATCCTCTTTTTATCTTCCATTGTGTATGAAAATTTGCATTCTATTTTTATTTTTTATTTTTAAAATAGAAAACAACAACAACGATGAAATATGAGCATACTTATCACCAAAAAATACAAAAAAAGCAAAATACAAAAACAAACAATTACAAAAAAAACGTTGTATAGTTCTTTGTTATCGGCTCACATAATAAACAGACAAATTTTACAAAATAAATTCATAATAGAAATCAGTCCATATCCTCTTCATCTTCTTCCAGATCACTAGTATTATGTTTATTGTTGTTACCGGTATTCGGTAGCTGATTGATACGTTTCGACTTGTAGTTCGATAATGTCTAAAACAACGAGACATGACAAAATTCTGTTCTATTTCTAAATTGAGAAAGGAGCTTACATTATTATGTTCTATCAACATCTCTTGATAATCGCTATTATTATTTTGTGATTTATTCTCCTCTTCATCAAAATCTTCATTCTCATTTTCATCCTCGTCATTTAATAAATCCAAATCATCAGAAAGACCACTGTAATCTTCGTATTCAGATGGACTAAATAAATATACCATCAATTTTTGAAATTAAGAAATAATCTGCTAATTTATACAGAGTAATTTGAAAAGGTAACTACCTTGGAACGATATCATCGTCTACTTGTTCGTCATCCTCATCAGATAATTCTTCAAATATTAATCTTGGCTGAGATGAAATTTCATCTGTACATAATATGTCATTTTGTGTCGTCATCTAAAAGAAAACATAATGTAAATAGTGACTGTATAAAAAATATAATATAATATTTGTTACTTGTGAAGCTATAAGCATTAATTTTCCATGTAAACGTGATAATTTCGGATATAATTTTGTACGCGCTTCTATTAATTCATAGAGTGGTCCCAAACGTTCACTTATATCGGAACACTAAAATATAAATCATTTAGTACAGAGACTAAAAAAAGTGAGAAAATCTATCTACATACTGTCATCAAATAAGATGTATGTGTACTCAATACAACTCGTAACCATTTGGAGGCAATGAGTCCTCTTTAACAAGAGAATAAAAATTAAATACAACTAAAAAGTATCTGAAACTTACTTTTCAGCACTTTCATATAAATAATTGTTCAAATGTTCTAATAATGGTAAGATACTTTGAACATTAAGTAAGCGAACAGTTTTTTGAATTAGTTCATCATTTCGAAATGTTAATGCTTGCTAAAAAAGATAGCAAAAAAAGCAAAACAATGATGGTATGATCATTTTTATTGTATTTAACCTATGCAGAGAAGAGACGATCGTATTGACAGAACATCGTAATCTCTTCTAATTGGATATACAGAGAAGAATTATTACAACAAAAATTAAAGTAGAGATTGACCAGCGTGTTGGTTCAACTTTGATGATAGTATGAAATAAAACGATTTGAAATAGAAGGAGAAATCTTTTAACTTACAATATTGCTAATAATGTTTATAATAGATATAAGACGTTAAATATTTAAGGAAGATCATAATAAAAAAATCAGTGAAATAGAGAACTATCAGATATTTTTATACAGATGCAAATATGCTAAGTTCAAACCTAATTAAAATAAAAGATATATTATCTAGTATCGGATATAGAGTTCAAAATTTACATTAATCATTAAGAAAGTAAGTGAAAAAAGATTATAAAGTAAATTACGTGTTGATTAATTCATAGAGAACTTTTTTCGCTGTTATTTTGAGATTCAGGATTTGGAAACATATAACTCGGTTAGCTAACGGACGTGTTCGTTACTCTTAAATTCTAGACGTTATATGCACCAAAAGGAGCGAGAATTTAGACACGATGAATTGAAAGTTTTCGACGTTTCTCGTTCACTGCATACTAATTTATTTTGTGTTGTTATTTGGTACATAAATTAGGAGATTTTTCTTTAATTCTTTTTCTGTGTTTCATCGAGCGATTCTATGAGAGAGTCCATTCGAAGAAAGGAGAAAGAAAAATTAAGGAAAAAAATAAAAATAACTTTAGAATAGAAATATCTACATAATACAGTTTTAACATCTATTGAATATACATATACACAACAAATACATTTTCTATCACATGTACATTATATGAAATTTAAATATTTTACCTTTATGTTCATTGTATTGAATTTGAATCTTGTTAATTATGTCACTGAAGAAAATGATACTGTATCATTCAAACGTTTGGAAAAAATAATATTAAATTTATACAAAAAGAAAAAGTGTGTTTAAATTAGTGTTAAACACACGAATAAGAAATGATTAAACTCTAAGATATATAATGAGATTATTCCACAGATGGATATTGAATTAAGCAGGTAGTGTGCTCCTCAAACAATTATGTTCAATTGAACTTTTAGTAGACTGAATATAAAAGAAATCTAAAAGATACTTACCCGATAGATGAAATTGATGATCATAATATCTGATATCTTTCATTTAAGATCAAATACAACAAGGGTAAAAAATAGGCGCTTACCACGTGCAAGAATTCTCATTTCACGTAAGTGATAGAGAGCTCGGGTACGTTTTGTTTTGTAGTAAACGCTTATGGCTTCGAGTTAACAGAGCCCGATTTTTGAATTTCTCATTTACTGATATCTGGTGCTTAACAGAACTTTAAAATCCGAAAAATCCTTGGACGGTTTCTTAGAAATTTCTATAAAAAAATGGAAACAGAATTTAGAAATCGGACATTGCCAGGTCCTAGCTATAGGTGTTATCTACAAATCAAAAAAAAATTATCTTTCTCCGATATATTGTTACCGAGAATTCTACACGTGGCCAAACTTCTGAAGCTAAAAGACCAGTCTTGAGAAAAATGCAAAATAAGTTCTGATTCTTTTAAATGTATTTTACTTGAAAACTATTTGAGCATTAAATATTTGTTCATACTTTTCTGGAGGTTATAGGTCATGGCGGATCTAATGAACATGTGCGCCGACGCATGCAGCATGTCGGCACATGCTTGTGCATATGCAAACATAGCTACCTGGAAAATAGTCACTGTTTTTGTTCCAAGAGTTCTGGAAAACTCGCTGAAAAACCATGGAAAACCCATTCCTCAACACAAAAATTATGCCATTAGAAAGTAAACACTTTGGACTCATCATGTGCTTTTCTCAAAATCCATATTTTTGACGAAAATTGACATTTCTGACCCGGTCAGGGCAGGGACGTACCTATTGGCGGCTTGTGGGGGCGGTTACACCTCCCTGCTTTCAGAAAAGTTTCTGTTTGGCGTCTTTCGCTCTTCAAAAAACCATCTTTTTTGGAAGAACGAAAATTTTTTTTAGCAGGACCACTCCCCTGCTGTGAGATGCTAGGTGCGTCCCTGGAGAAGGGGGTGTCTTAAGTGATGATAATACTGCACCTTCCTTTCATATCAAACCACCATACATCATTACAAGAATGTCATTATCAAGAAGAAAATACTATCTTTTTATAAAGCATTCGCGGTAAAATTAGTTTTATAAGTTATATTCAACTTCATCTTTATCTTTTTTAGAGTTCTGATCAGAATTTCCGGTTGTTCTTAGGAAAGGGACTAAAAATTTTGCTTCATAGAAAGTGGCTCGCAAAAAACAGTTTTCGAAATTTTTGGCAGAAAGTTCTTGATAGAAAAACGTCAAGGATTTTGCTAGAAACCTAAAAAGTTTTTTAGGATGGATTCAGCACCTCCTGCCCCTTCCTGATCGAGAACCCTGGTTCTGTTTTTAAAAACTCTAGTAATTAGTTCATTTAACTAAAGATTATCTGTTTTCAAGACAATGACCAACTCTGTACGAAGATCTGCCGCATCATTTTGCTAAAACTACTTCCACTTTAGGCATTTTAGTTTTTGAAGCAAAAAAAGTTGTTCTTATACAACAACAATACATCAAAATATAGAATCAGTCATGCGAAAACGGAAGACGTAATACATTTTGATTCTACTCCTTTTCCCAAAAGAAAATAAATCGTTTTTCTTTTTCTCTATAACAGCTATTATTTCGTATGTTATAATATGAGATTAATAAATCATAATCTCAACTGCCTTTTGATGACGAAAACCACCTAACAATTAATTTTTATTATGAACCAATGAACAAACAACAAAAACGTTTTTGACGGTATGACAGAGTAGTTTTGAAAGAGAAAACCTAGTACATTCAAAACACTTCAGGCATAACTTAGCAAAAGAGAAAAAGAAGGGCGTGTATCAAAGATGAAAGTAGTCAGAGTCTCTCAAAGATGTCAGGATAAGTTATTGTGCAAAGCTATAGAAACTGTCAAAATATAACTAGTTTTTTATTTTTTTCACATTGTTTCACATTGTCAATTTGAAAAGAAAACAAAACTCGAGTTTCTGATGATGGCATGTTTAACTCTATATCCATAAACTCGAGAACATCAATGTTCTAAATCAGATAAAGATGCAATAATGACCGACTCTTACAGATCATATCTTTTGTGTTCAATATATTTTAATCAATCTCATCATTATACATATTACAGTACATTTAATAACATTTTAGCAAATTTGGATGTGGTAAGTCTTTTCTTGTTTACATAACCAATGATAGTCGTTCAGATAAGAAAAAAGAGTCATTTTTAGATGCAAACCAAAAATCTTCCAAGTAGATTTGTACTTCGTAAACATTCTAAACCTCAACACGTCATATTAACTAATCTGAAACATCTACATCCATAACTGCAGGCTAACAGTGTACTTATTAGACATATTCGAATATTATTGTAGTTTTCTTGGATCTAAAGATAAAATGCCGCCATATACAGTATTAATAGCGACGATTTCGATTTGTAGTACCATACATGAAGCCTTCAGTACCGATATAGGAAATGGTACTGATACTTATATCATAAAAGTCTTTCTATCACTGTTAGTGACGTATGTAGATTATAGTGGCGTAGCCAGGATTTTGTTAGTGGGTGGGCGTTGTCCCAAATTTTTTCAAAATGGTAGACATGAGCGCAGAGTAGTGTGAATTATAGAACTTCTAGCGGGTGGCTACGTCACTACAGGAGTGGCTGTTTGAGTCATGTGAGAACAGAGTATGAAGATTTGTCAGTTAATACTTTATATTCACGCACTTTTTTCTTCTAATGTGTAATATGTACGTCGGAGTATCACAAACAATAGCTCTAAACAGTATAAAAAGCTGATGAATTACTACTTATGTACTTACCAGGGCCGTAAATTGCGAAGAGGTGGGTGTAAACAATTTTTAAAGCTTTAAAGCTAAATTGTTTTGAGGGGGTGTAAGAAAAAATTTTTTCGCTGTGTGATCAAAAATAATGAAAAAAACTTTTAATTTTCGCTGGGAGGAAAGAACAAATTTCTATTTTTGGGAGGGTGTACCTCCCGGGGCGGCGGCCCCGGCGGGGGGGCGGGGGGGGGGGGGGGGGGGGGGGGGGGGGGGGGGGGGGGGGGGGGGGGGGGGGGGGGGGGGGGGGGGGGGGGGGGG